GCTGCTGGAACGAATTAATTTTGTAAGTAGAGGTACCACTGTATATAGATATAAATAAAGATATATCTGCCCTATTGCCGTGTAAGTACATATAGGTTGCATCCACACTTTTCCAGGTCATGGCCTAGATTTCAGCCTTCTGTCCAGGAGTAATTCCCAAATATTCCTCAATTTTAAGCATGACTAAGAAGTATGAAGTTATGTTTATATTAGTATTTTTAGCATTTATTTGGTCATGTCCTACATTTTTATTGAATGTCCTACGTTTTACAGCACCTTCTCCTCCTTTGCAGTTATGAAATCTGGTTACCCTGTGTGTAACGAATAAGGAATATATTTTCAAACTACCAAAAACTGTAAATATATACTGTAATCTATTAATGGATGGAACATTACTGCAATTCTAGCCATTTTCCAGCTTTAGACAAAGCAAAAAAAAACTTGTGCCTGTAACAGCATCACACCAAAAATTGAAGAAACATCTCCTTGCAACCTCCCTCCAAGCAAAGGACCCAATGCGATTCTCAAGGGGGCATGTTGGCATATGGCATAACCACAAAGGAGGACAAGGCACCGCAAAATGTAGGACATGACCAAATAAAAGCTAAAAAAACCACTCATATAAATGTCAATTCATATTCCTTAACCATGCTCAAAATAAAGGACATTTTGGAATTCCTCCTGCACAGAAGGTTGAAATGTAGGGCATGTCCTGGAAAAGGAGGACGTCTGTCACCCTCTGAAGGGGCGGTCTAATAAGATATCCCACCATCCCTTTTCAAATTGATTCTCAGCAGCTCAGCCCCATTGGAGAGCTAGTGTGGCATAGAGGTTTCATCATTGTACTCTAGAGACCAAGGTTTGAATCCCAGCTCAGCCATGGGAACCCACTGGGTGACCTTGGATATGTCACACTCTCTCAGCCTTAAAAGAAGGCAAAGGCCATGATAGGGTCACTTTAGAGTCACCATAAGTCAGAAATGACTTGAAGGCACACAACAACGAAATCTTTAAAATAATCATCCAAACATATATATATGTGTGTGTGTGTGCTATATATATATATATATATATATATATGGGTGATTATTTTAAGGACTTCGTTGTTTGTGCCTTCAAGTCATTTCTGACTTATATATATTGAGGCAACACGATGTGTTGGACTGTCTCTGGAGACCAGAGTTCGATTCCCAGCTCAGCCATGGAAACCCGCTGGGTGACCTTGGGCAAGTCACACTCTCTCAGCCTCAGGGGAAAGCAAAGCCAAACCCATGGCCTTAGGATCACCAAAAAGCACAACAAAGTTAAAGGAAGACAAAAACCAAGTCATGTCTTTAAAATAACCACCGAAATACCGAAATACACATACACACACATATTATATATATATATATATAATA